TGACTTCAGGTTACGCCTGTGATCCAATGAACGTTATGTTTTTCTGACCTGTATGTGTGTGTGTGTGTAAGTCCCGGTTTTTCACCGGTCTGCACACCGGTTACGTGTGCACAAATTGCAAATATACGAGCCACCTGATTTAATGCGTGCTTATTTACCTGCCCCAATGCCCGTTTATACGTCTAACTCCACGACTCAAGGTTTACCAACAAAAGAAAAGCTAGTTCTCTATGGTTCTTGAATCCGGCTCTGACGCCAAACAATCACGACGGGACTGCACCTTGACCTGGTGTGATGGCTTGTGTGCCTCCATGATCCTGTGAGCTGTACAGGATGGCTTTTCACGGACGCAGATCCAATCATGCATAAAAGGTGAATAGGCAGAGGTCAGACAACGCTCGGTCTTACAAGGCCCGCTGGTTGGGAACCTCACGACTCCCTCTGACTATTCACTCTCGCCCCCGGAGAGGGTACTGCAGCAAATAAACAAGGGGAAGAGTGATTTGCCGGTCCAAAAGCCTACTCTAGATGGACGTAGCAGCCGGGTACTTCAGGGTTCCTCCTTACGGTGGGAGTACTCTTTGTACTTCATTGGGCAACTACGACCCTCCCAAGCTGGACAGCACCTAGCCAATAAGGTGCTATCCCATCGACGTTCCCCTTGTCGCATTGTGNTGTGGCATGAGACTAAGGGCTAATGCTAAACAGCGGACCGCCAATCAATGGAGTAGCGAACAACTGAATTGAAACCCAAAGACCTTATGTGACAGGTCTCTAGAAACTCCCACATGAATGCTTTGATCAGGCACTCGTGTTGGATCCACGCACTACTGTTTTTTTGGGTCGAATGCTACAGTCAAAGGCACCGGTCAAGGTTCCCAAAGAAAACTCCTTCGTCGGTGTGAGCCACAGCGAAGTAGGAACTGCCCCAAAGCCTCAAACGCTCATCTGGAAAATCCTCTTTCTCAACTTTTCGGCTCTTTATCTCACTCTTAAATCGTACGAGATGTCTCCTGTTTACACCACCCATGGGATATCAACCAGAGTTGATCCGGCAACGTCAATAAGTCAAAAGCTTTAACAGAACGAAAATCTACGTTTCACTTGACTTCTCACTCTATCAGATCCGCCAAGCTGCCTTACTTAGAACCCTGACATTTTCAATTTAGATGTATGCTGTCTCTGAAATACGTATAGAAGACCCCACTTCAGTTGTCACCGTGCGATCTCCAGATTGAACCTCCCCCTCAAGCGGCACTCTCCGTGTTTCATGCGATCCGACATCCGAAGCTTGTGGTGTTGCTGATGTTGAGATTGCCAAGCCTAAGCGCTCGCTTCTTGACTGAATTCCAGCCAGCAGCTGACTGTGCGCTCTAGGTCTCGACAATTCTGTACGTGTCAACAGCTACAGAACGAAGAGTCGGTGCCTTTTCGACCGAAGGCAGTGTGCTTGAAATCAAGGCTGAAATCTACAAGAATTTTTTCAACCGCTCCAAAGTGGTCGATTAACGGACGTTGTAGTATTCCTCGGAAACTTTAATGCACAAGTAGGAAGTCGAGAGGAGGCTGAAGGGTTTCTTGGCGGTTCACATGCAACCCCAACTAACTGGCTGGACAATGAAGATCGCAACCTTGAACTTTGTTCGGACCATGGATTGTTCCCATCGAGCCTCAGCCTTTTCTGCAAGAAACAACACCCTATTACATGGATACTTCTATCGTCTTCAGAGAAATGGATCCAAGTCGACCACAACGCCGTCAGTTACCGCTGGAGAGAGTTAATTCAAGACTACCGTACTTACTGGTCAACACCTGTGGTTGCGGGCCACGCTTTATTACAAGCTAGACTCTCCTTACACATGGAAAACATCAACATCATCATTGTACAGCGAGATACACTTGAGCGAACCTGGCTGATCGCTGCCAAGCTTACGATGTACACAAATTAAAAGACAAGGTGTAAGATGCAGAGGGAGTGGGCCTTATTGGAGGACGGAAAAGAAAGCGAATCTCTCTATGATCAACACAAAGAGCACACAATCTAATTGTGCACACGTACCTCTTCAGACATTCTGACATGATAAAAAAAGATAAGTGAAGTCAAGCAACGCTTCATGCACACAGAGTGAATTTTCAGCAATTTACGATTTTTACAATAGATATATAGAACCAATTGGGAACAAAAAAGACAATATAAGAAATTATATGAATTGGTAAATGCGGGGAAAATTAAACAGGAGTTTTTCCCTGAGGTGGGTGAGAATAGTCTTACGATTAACCTATAACCGAGCAAAGTATGGAATCACACACAGAAGTACGCGCAGGAAGGAGTTGATATTTGGAGCGAGTTCAGGGATTAGACAGGGCTTTCACGATACCTCGGTGCAGACAGTGCCCATGATCCCCTGTTATCCTGTTAATACTGGTGACAAGCGTCAAGATGCTTGGAAATAAAGAAATCAACCAAAAGAAATCTATCAACTCCACTGTAACGGATGTGGAAAATGAAGGTCTTTTTCTTTCAGACCAGGGGAAAATATCGGGGAGCAGTAGATCCACTGTGGAAGAATGCAGGCAATCACAAATTTAAGAATAAGATTATGTGGTATGGCCAGTTCCCTGAACCTGTAAGCATAAAAAGACAGTTTTCGAACTTTTGTGAAAACGCTGATGACATGAGCAGACCAGGACAGGTTATGGGTGAGGGTGACACGAAGGTATTTACCAGATGCAGATTTTGGGATGCTTTGATTGTTAACTAAAGATCCGGGAGATTATTTACTAATGAAAGATAACGGGAACCGGTTTCATGACCAAATGGAACTTCAATGCACCTGATGTTAAGTATATGGGTCGGGTCACAGATCAATCGTGAAGTTCATCAAGGCTGTCCTGGAGGTCGAAAACTGTGTGAAATAGGGGATGAGCAACCAATCATTATATCGTCAGCATATTTGCATGCAATAAAGTTACTGGGAATAGGAAGACACTGTATATACATAGAAATCAAGAAAGAGGGCAAAGTAACACCCTGAAAACACCAGCTTCAATGTTAATAGAAGATGACTGTGCTCTATTCAATGAAGCAAACTGGGTCTTACGGGAATGGTCGATTAGTACATTCAAGATTTCAGGAGTTAGGTCACACTCAGAAAGACATTCGATAAGCAGTCTTCTATCGAGAGAAAGAAAGGCGTTTGCATAATCAAAAAAGCTAAACAAGCGGTACCTGCACCTTCGTCCAAGACGGAAGTAACAGAATGAACAATATGGGCAACAGCGTCAAGTCTGGACAGACACTGCTATCGGTTTGCTGCTATATCCTTGAGTGTCTCCAACCATCCCATTAGAGTATTTTGGGCCACCAAAACGGAAGACGTGATACCTATTCTACCTAATCGCTATGTGCACTTCTTCAGGTATCGTTTCCACATCATCTGCTGGCCACTACGTGGTTTCTTTCAACATGGAGCCGCAACCGTGAATAAGGCCTGGTGGAGGGTCGAGCGTATGCTACGGCAGTTCAACCACTTCTCCTATACAGCAGACTTAACCATTGCAAAATCAATATAAAGACAGANACAGAATGTCGACGTTTAAACACCGCTGTCTACGCCGCATTGCAGGAGACTGATGGGGTAACCAGGAGAGCAATCCTGGGGCACAAGTTGTAGTTTCAGTTTTTACAACCATTAACCATGCACTTTTGTGCGCCGGTTTGGGTTGCTGTCTTTTGGCTGCCTATTTAGATAAAAGAGCAGGATGAATATTGGAATGTTGAAAGCCAATTCAAGCAGAAGATAGAGAATTCATATAGAATGATGTCAAGAGAATAATCAGTAAATGCATGAGCGCACTGTTTGCGACACCCAGCCATATCGTTCAGTGTCTCAAACCATTGGTGACCAAGATCTCGGGGTGCCAGGGAAACTAACGGGACCTATGCGACCCAGATTTCGGAAACCGCGGTCGCCCAATAGAACAAGTGGTTAATCTACATAGATAATGTTGGTTGGAACATGTGCTACGCATGCGACCAGTAGGGTTGCTACGGCGATCAAACTCAGACCTGGCATGAAGGTATGAAAAACAGGAGGATCCGTTACATAGGTCGCATTAGGCTCTCTGGATGAAAACCTCTGGATCATTTCAATCAATGTTTGGACACACTGAGTGATATGACTGTGTCGTAAACATTGGCACCCTTGCATCTTCCGAATTTCCTTGCAAAGTTAGTCTTCATAAATTGTCTTCCTCTAACTCTGACACTGAGTTAAACATCCCTATTCTCTCTTCACTCCTTGATTCAGATGGGATGCCATGAGGCAGCAACCAAAACAGACACAGGAAGGTGCATGGTTAATGGTGGTAAAAACTGAAATGAACTGACCTGACGCCCCTTGTTAAAAAAAAATCATTCTGGCCACAAAACGCTTAAAACGACTTGCCCAGCTGACGCATGGAGAGAGAAGTTTTGGCGTGCGGATGAGGCTTTATCCACCTTTGGAGGCTGGAGCTTTTTGAGGGTTTCGCCGGTTGTCAACATCTATGCCAGCAGATGATCTATCTACTTGCTAATGAAAAACATCACCGCTATGGTGCTCTACGTGGCTTTTCCCATAATCGATAACGAGGATGGAAAAACAAGACCTACAGACGTCAGGAAAAGACGTCTAACCGAAATGAAAATGGCACACTAACTCCAATGAAGGCTTTTATCTAGGTTCCACGGTCCGCAAGTAAAACAGATTTGAAGCTGAGGTAACATGGATTCTATTGTCATGACTTGTCTAGCCGATATAACCGATACAGGTTCTCACTAACCGAATAACAAACTGGCGCTAACTGACGATAGCTGATGAACATTCTCACCTACAATTCTTATCACAACAGAGTGAGAGTACGTTGCTTATGGAAAACCAATGAAAAACAAGTTTATAAAACCTCTTTCGTAAAGGTTAAACATTGTGAAACACTATTGGCAGAAAAAAATCTAGCACTCACGTGGTTAATGCACGCTGATCAATATACTCAGCTGAAGCCCAGTGTTTTTTGATACCGCTGACGTGACCGATGCCGACTACAGCCACAACAACCCGAGGTAAGACGGATGGACTTGGCCAATACGGACAACAAGAAGGTATGTGAGGGTTCAGGTCGGCTGGACTATCCGCGTTCCCTGTCACAGAGTGTTCCGTTGCTCCCTCTGCATCAGTGTTGTGTTCGGCGTTCACCGTAGTCGTTCGCTGACGAACCATGTCTGTGCTATCACCAACCGGTCCCTCATTCTCCGAAAGAGACGCAGATTGCGTCTTGGAATTATTCAGCTTACTGAAATACGGCATTCCGGTGACAGACCAAATTGATTTGGCTAAATACATATCACGTTCATCTACCAGAATGCGAACAAGTTCGGGGTGTTCTCCAGCCATTTCTAGAAAAACTTTCTCCAGAAAATCGCTTTTCTTCATTTCTTCTACCTCTTCTTTTCTGTGACAACAGAAAGAATAACAAAAGCAATCGGTAAAAATTAAACTAGAGGAAAAAGTTGCGCCACGTCATTTCAAATATCTATCAATCACAAGCAAATTTAGGCGTATTAACTGTGCCTTACGGATGGCCTCGTCAAATTTCAAACACTGGTTGAGGATGGCAATGAGAATCTGTTCAATACTCTTAAAGGGGGTATTCACAACAGTACTCTCCAAACAGAGAACAGTGAAAGGCTATGTTCATTTGTTGAATGCTGTAGATTGAGAAACTATAAAAAACAGAAACTAGGAAGACAAAATTTAACAGTTACAACTGTGCTTGTACCCCGAAACCCATGGAGGATGAAGGTTTATTATCTCAGATAACCTTGAGTCGAATACATCTTTCTATACGACTGTCGGATCTGTGTCATGGAACATCATCGTCGTATAGCGTAATACTACCTAATGACCTCTCGAACGGTATATTCGAGGTCTCAGTTAATGAGTTTCAAACATGATTTGCTTAATACTGTCTTTTACGTCCTCGTCGGCTCATTTTCGGATTTCTACTCAAATGAAGAAGCGCAAGCGTGGTGGCTAGCAAGCAGCGCTTAGCCGCACACCCCCATTGAAAATGATTGTGCCCTCATTGGTCAGCAAGAACATCAGGTCACCGTTCTCAAAGGTGACGGATCTAACGTGTACTCTCGAATAGAGGCTATCTCGAAAGAAGAAACTTTTGAACTTTTGCGTACCGTGAAAATCACGCGCTGTGTTGGTCCCGATGGTCTTTCATCTTCCCTTCTGATATATGGGGCCCATTCTCTGAGTGAAATAATCGCATCATTTTTGAACATTTCCTTAAAAATTTGCTCCATACCAGACTGTTAGAAACCAGTAACAATTGGTCCCATTCCCAAGTCCTCCACTTCAAAGTCCTCACCAAACGCTTTCGTCCTATCGCTTTATTTTTTGTTGGACTTAGACTAGCAGGACGTATTGTTTCTACTCGCATTCAGTCCACACTTGATGTCTCCTATGATCCTCTTCAGTTTGCTTATAAACCAAACAGATGCCGTTTCCCCACTTATACACAAAATTACAAACCATTGAATGACTTTGCGAAATCTGTTTGTTGTGTTTCTGGACTACTCATCTGCTTTTGATTTTATTTCGGTTGTCCTAGGCAGCTATTAGCTTGGCTCGCCGATTACTTCTCCGAGAGAACTCAATGTAGGTTAGCTGGGAAGAAATCCCAAACCAAAGATGAATAATTCTGGGGTACTTCAATGTGCAGTTCTTTCGCCATACTTTTTTCTAAGCATATTAAGGACTTGTCTGCCGGTGCCCCTACTTCTCTCTTCAAATACGCTGACGATGTGGTTTTATGTCAAGCCATCTGTAATTCTTCTGGTCTTTCACGATTTTCTGACAACTGGGAAAACGTTCAACAATTTTCCGCCACATCCGGCCTCTCCCTTACCCCCTCAAATGTTTCGAATGTCTCTTTACATTAGCATGCTCTTCTTTCCCATTTGAAGCGATATCGATTGGCTCTGAACCAGTATCACGGGTGAGATGTACTAAATACCTGGGGGTTTATGTCGATGTTAATCTTCGTTGGACCTCTCACATTCAGCATATCGTCAAAAAGCTTCGATGGTTTTCTTTTCACATCCGTAAACATCGTCAGTTTCATATTCAACAAGCGATTATTTGCAAGTTCTTGTACCAGTGTTTTACCCGTTTTATTTTATTTTTTACCTGGTATTTTTCCCATCTCCTAAAGAAAGATTTTAAACTGCTTCGGCGTGGACTGACCATCAATGGCCGGGTCTCTTCAACCCTGCTGGAGGAGTTGGTAACAAATCTGTGCGAACGTCATTTGAATGCATGTGAAAAGTTTGCACATAGGATTCTCATCGACCCCACAAATCCGCTACACTTACATTTAACCTCCTGTGGTTCCCATCCGTCAGATAGATCCCAATACCGTTGTGTTACCTCTCGAATAAGCATATATCGTAACTCTGCGGTACCCTCATTAGCACATATTCTAGTTAACAAAGAACATGTTTTCACAGACCGTCAAAAGTTTCGGAATTTAAATCTTTTTTTCATCAATAATATCATTTGGTCTCCCTTTCTCCAACTTATATATTTTTAACTGAAATGAAGTCTTTAGGCCTACAGAAATTATTAGAACACAACCGCATGAAAACCAATGCGTGGTTAGATCAGATGAATTTCATTTTTTCACAACCATTAACTACGCACTTCCGTTCCCCAGCTTTGGTTACTGTCTTTTGGCCGCCCGTTTGGTCAGACCCAATGCAAGCGGTTCAACTTTATGCCGAATCAGGCCAACGGTAGCTGACTGCTATATAGTCGATGAGAGTTAGCGTACCAGTTGAATTGGAGCGCCACGTTGCTGTCCTTTGAGAGCTGTCTCGCAGGTTGACACCGGGTAGGAACGAATGATCATCTGCGCAGACCTTAAGAAGTCGATCGTCGTAATCTGTTCGTTGGCGGGGCAGAGCACAACGACCGCCTAGGCAAGCCTCCAATGAGCTGTTTTCAAACTTACGCGTTTAAATCAGCTGCGAATACGTTTATATAGGAGCTTAACCTCATGGAGCTACACTGCCTATTCAGCTGCGTGTTGAAAAATAATGTTTTTTTCTCATCCAATATGGGACGGCCGAACGTTTATCAATGAAACTGATTGTGTGTGTTGATTTCTCATCTTCCAATTTGATGAAAAATTCTGCGGCTCATTCGAAAGCAGTCGCGTAACCGATTGCTCGTAAGCCATTTAGTATCCCATGCATTCTACTAGTTTACGGGGTTTAATGTGTTGCGTTACACAATCAAGCCATTCCGGTGGAGTCTCAGGCAACAGATCAACAAGGAAATAAGGTTGTCCCACAATTATATCGCATATAACCTATTTCTTGAAGTTTAAAAGTAGGAACTAGTGAAGTACACCGTATACTTTTAAATGTGAGCTATAGCGGTTGAGTAGAACATTTGAAAAATTTTCGCAGCTGACTGTTGTTTCACTATGCCAAGGAGTATTCGATCAGTTCGAAAACCACTTATCAACACAGAATAGTTTACTCAAATATTGACCACGCACTTTCGTACGGCGGTTTTGGTTACTTAGTTTGAAGAAGGAATCGAGGAAAGATTGGAATACCAAGAGTAGTATGAAGGTTAATATAGAGAATTCAGGTAGACCAAACGGATTGAGAAGATGCACAACTGCCACTGTTCGCAACACAGTCGTATCACTCAATGTACTCAACCAGTGGTTTTGATTATCCGTGTGACCCTTTTGGGTACAAAGCTGAACTTGACTTGACTTGAACAACTACAATCTACCTTTATTCAGTTCTCGTAACGATGAAGCCTCTGCGCAGCACGTGCAACAGCTTACGTGATTGGCTTGAAGTCAAATAATAACGTCCAAATGAGTTTCAATTTTGTCCATGGTCCGAGGGCGTCGAATGCACGACGTAGCGTCACTCCAACCAAACGGTCACCAAGAACAAGATGACAATGAGGCTGTTTCATTCCCTGAAAACAGCACAGATACATTTTACAATGATGCATTACAAAAGAGAACATGCAAACAACCATCAGTGTTTCATAAACATAAAAATTAGGGAAGTTAGGTGAAACGTGAATATTTTAAACTTTACATTGCCGAACTCGGCGTTTCGCTCAAAAGTAGCACTAGTGAAGTACTTTCAAAACATCCCGGTAATTACATAAATCTATCAGTTTAATTGGATGAATACGATCACTATCTGCCACGAATCCGATGATAGTTCCAAAGCACCAGTCGAAATTAAAAAATAAGCCAACTGTACTTTGAAGAATACTACAACTGAAACGCGCATGGCGAAAAATTACTGTTCATTCAGTTAATGAAAGACACTAGTCGGCCTTACTTTGGCTATGCCCTGTGAGGACGAATGGAGTTATTGAAGAGTAAGTAAATTGCCGTAGAAATTTCATGCGAATGAGGTCCTCAATATCTTCCAGCTTTGGTGCTAGGTTGCATCTCTAGCATTTACACAAACCAGTGTGACCTATAAGGCCGTGGGTGTCTTTGCGATGATGTACTTGCATTCAGAAGGTCTTTCTAGCCGTTGGACCAAGAATAAGATTACGTCTTCCAGCCTGCCGGACGTGTTTTACAAGCAAACATGGGACTGCGACTCTTCGCGTTATGATAAACTCGATTACTCTCAATGAGTTCGAACAGAGTATCAAGCGGTTATCGCCGTGTGGTCGATGCCACAGTCAAACAACGTCATAGAGACAAATGAGAGTTAAGTGTAAACCGAAGCAAAGCTATTTTGTAGAAATACGGCATGTTCCTGAAACACAGATGCTACCTCCATTCTTTATCAATTAATATGCCGGGTGAAGACATCAACGCAGTGGTGAAGGTAATCTGCAAACATTCACGATGACGATACACTCAGTGAACAGAAAGACACTTGTAAAGCCCCATATTGGTTCACAGGATTCAGACAGGTGAAGAAGCCTTTTACTCAATGTGAGAGCAAAATGGGAGTATGAAAATCGGAAAACGCTGAGGAAAAAGAAACTGATAGGAGCAACCTTTAGGGCACTAAAACAATGAGATCCCAATCCACCTCGATCAAGCCAGCACGAAACGGCACTCAAAGAAACATGTTTCGTATCCAGGCGAAATTCTACACTGTTTTTTATTACACAATTTCGTGTGATGAACAGCTGACGGGTAAAGCCCTCATAGTCGCGAGGACCTGCTGTTCAGTGGTGGAAACCGATAACCTAAGCCCCGGGTTTTAGAGTGGTGAACCACATAAGGCCCGATAGGTTAGGTGTGGTATTGAACCGGACGACAACACAGCTGCCTACCACCGGTGACCGGGCTCGAACCTCGGATCATGAGGTCCAAA